TATAAGAGTAGAACACATATACACTCATAATAATAAGTAGATTATAAAAAATGTTGTCAATGTAGTTCATTATAAGTCAAAATAAAAATACTACTTTACAGGAAAGCAAAAATCATGAGAAATACAAGAGAAAAGAGAGTAAAATTTGCTTGTCTATCAAAAAATAATTTCCATGATAAGAAAAATCATTATTATTGTTATTATTTTTTCTTTCATTTATTTTTTATTCTATTGTATAACCTTTAAAGAAATTTTTTATTTTTACATTTAGCTACTTTAAGATTACTGTATTTTTAGATACCTACATTATAACAAAAATACCTAAACGCATACAAACGCTGTAATATACGCACAATATCGTAGATATCGTAAATATTATTAAAAGTTAATTGAACCTAATTTTCTGTACGTGTGTATAAGTGAGTTTATAATATAGAAATTTATATATGTATAACAGTTTATATGCAAAAATTTATATTAAATCATATCAGAAATAAAAAAAAATTACATGTCATGTTAAAAAATTTTATTTTTATTTTATTTATTGTTATAACTTGAATAGGTATCAATATTTTTATTAAGAGAATAAAATGTTAAAATATGATAAAACCTATTAATGTAGTTGTTTTATGTAGGAAATATTTTGCAAAAATAAACAACAAAATGGCACGTATTACTAAAATGTGGGAGGAGGAGGGGCTGAGGAAAAATTTTTGTTGTCATATTTTAAATAAGAAAGGTGAAAAAAGTTTTTTTTTCTTTTGTCCAAATATGATGAGAAATTTCTATTTATTTATATTTATATGATATTAAGTAAACTTTAAAAGGTTAAGGTTAAAATAAGTTTAATGTCATCATTATAAATTAATTTTTGAAGATCATGGGAATATTATTATAATAATTTGTTGTAAATAATATTAAAATTCTTAAAATTGAAATTACTAAAATTAATAGACATATAAATTAGCATTTAAATGAGAAATGAACATTAAGTAATTTTAATATTAATTAGAATTATATAATGTTCATACTCCATTCCTAATTCAAAATTCCTCACATACTGGTAAATGTGTCCAACTAATAGAGTTCAATTTTTATAATTGGAAATTATAAATATTGGAGGAATATAGCAAAAAATATGCCAGTTCCAAATTAAACAAAGAATTTTCAGGAAGAAAGAGAATTAAACAAGATGCGGAACAATTCAATGAAATTTTAATAAATGGTTGAATATGTTTTTTAATAGTACAAACTTATTTTTAAGTAGTTTAGATACTTTTCTTATATAAAATAGCTTGTTATAAAAATATTTAAATAAATTCATGTTATTTTAATTACATTTCTTACGTGTCTAATCTAATATTACATTTCTTACGTTTATTAAGTTTACGAAACTCACAACGTATTCTGAAATCACTTTTCGTTTAAATTTTTTAAATTATTTCAGATTAAAATTAATGAGCTAATGATTTACTTGATTAAAGAAAATTTTTTCACTCTAATAATAGCAAAAATTTTACGCATATATTAAAAATTTTCATTTAATTTTTTAACTCTTACAAAACAATATATTATTAAATTTTCCCTACAAAACTTTTCTTCCAAACTTCTCTATTTCTTTTATACCTCTTTAGCTATACCTATTTCTTTTTTGAAAACTTTTTTAACTTCTTAATTACTCTATCTTATACGATACATTGAATAGCACCAAGTTTTACCATATTTTTCAAATATCTTATTTATTTTCTTTACTAGCTAATACTTAATTGTATTAGACATTATGTCTAGTATTTTATAACATAAAGAGGAAAAAAAAATACCTATACAAATTTCTATAAGGCCATTTTAATGTATTGGAAGGAAATATTATAAAATAAATGAAATGAAACAGGATGAAAATAATAAGGGCTAAAGAATAATGGTAAAAAGGAATATAAAAATATAGATGGGACGTAAATGAAGAGAAGAGAAAAAGATTAGCATAAAAATCATTAGTCATAATCGACTATAATATACTTTGAGCGGTATATTAATAGCTCCCTTGAACTTTTTTCTACTTCTTTTTCCTTATTGTTGTACTTTTTATTTTATTTTATTACTTTGTTTTTTGATTTTTAATTTTTCTTACGCTATTTTCTGTTTTTTTTTTTTTCTTTTGATATGACAAAAGAAGAAGAATGAAGTTTTATGTGCCGATTTTGTTGTATTTTGTTTTTATTTTTTATCGTTTTAATTTGTAAAAATATTAGAAATAGAGAGAAAATCAAAATAAAGGTAAAAATAGAAGAAATCAGTTGTGTATAATGGCAGAGGTTGTGTATAGTAGATTAGCATAGTATTTTTTTTGTTTTGCTTTTTTAGGTCGAATATTGAGGTAGACTTATATAGGCCTTTATTTTCCTAAGAATGAAATTACAAAATCAAAAGTGAAAATATTGGAATATCGTGAGGAATTTTTTAACAGTGAAATTTATTTTTATGGCATTTATAAATTTTTAATTAAATAATTTAATAAATTTTAAAATTTGTTGTTAAGAGACAAAATGCAATAAAAATTAATGAATTGTGTTATAAATTTTTATTATTTCAGTGGATTTGGTTGTTCTCACTCAATACAGGTTGTAATGAGTGAGATAGTTCATATATTACTAAAGAATCGAAACTAATTCAAAAGAAATTATAAATGTAAGTCAAAGACTATTGTCATTTTTTAATTTGAAGTTATGAGAATTTCTGTATTTATCCACTTAATCCCCCTACCACCCCCATTTTTAATTAAAAATGTTGAATTCAAATGAAAAATTATTAGAAAATTTGCAAAAAATTTTAATTTATTTTTTATTCCATGGTTCCGAGTACAGCACGTTTATCGCCCCCGTAATCACCAGGGCGTCATTAGGCATGCGATTAAAGATGGAATATTTATTCAATACTAACGAAATTTATACTGACATTTTGTGTTAATCAAATTTAATAAATATTTTATAATTTAAAAATCGTAATTTCCAAGTTGGAATAAATTGATTTCTATTGTAACTTTGAATATCTTTATCGAAACATATTATCACCGTAAGGTGAAAGGACAAAAAAAGGACTAAAAACAGTCGAATCTGACTGTATAAATGAAAATATATTTTCCAAATACTTCATAAAGTCATTTTAGTCATAAGTATATAAAAACGAAAACAAAAAGGACATAAAAACAAAAAGTAAAAATGAAATAACAATGAAATAGAAAAACAAAAAACGTAGGAAAATAAAAAGAAAAAACAGCAGTTATACAAATACTTTATTATTACTATGGTTGATTTATAACCGATATTAATAAATTAACTTATATTATTTTCTTTTTATTTTTTCTTATTCGGTTTTCAGTATGATATTGAGAGTATGAATAAAAATAATGTACGAGTATTATGAAATAATTAAATTTCTGAATTTTGAGGTAGCTATAATGAAATAAAAAAAAAATTTTTTTTTTTTCGTGTTCGAATAAAATTATTCTTAATAAACGTAAAAACATATAAGGAAAAAATTTATGTAGAAGAACGTGTATAATTATATGTGCGTTTTATTTCATTTTCTATAATTAAATGCAATGAAAATCAATAGAATATTATTATTTATAAACAAAATATGAAAATATACCTACATATATAGAATATTGATTCGTTTTACTAAAACCCTAAATAAAAAAAGAACGTTTTTGTTCTACTTTTTTTTAATTAAAATACAAAACAAATAGAGTAGGGTCGAACCAATGTAGCACGTTTCTTTTCAACAAATAAAAATACTGTTTTTAAAAACAATCCAGTTAGCCATTACATTATTAAAATTACTTCTATTCACATACGAAAATAATTTAAAAAATTGCATATATTTAGGGGCGGAGAAAAAAAAAATTTAAAGATGCGTTATTGTAATGCTCAAATTTAAAGATTAATTTCGTGAGTTAAGAAAAATAATTATATTTTTTTAATCGAAAATTTGGAAAATTTATAGAATTTCGGAAAAGCTTGCAAGTTCGGTAATATAAGGTACCAAAAATTTAAATTTTACAAATTTTGAGAGACAATAACTTGAGAAGGAGTGGAGGTAAAAAAAATTTTTCTTCTAACGAAATGAACTTTTTATAACTGCCTAAAAGGTACTTAAATTTCAGTCCGTGGTATAGAAGGGTTATAGCCCCTCTCCTTAGAGGAGGCTATAACTCTTAGAGGCAGAAATAAATAAAAATTTTATTTTACAGAAATAAGTTTCTGGTAAAGATCTTTGTATCTACTTATTAAATTTCAGTTTTCTATATTGGAGGATATAGGAGTTTTTTTAAATATGTCGGCGGACAGGCAGAGTGAAACTAATAAGCACTTTTTTTCAACATTTGTTTTTTTTTTTTTAAAAATGCTTAAAAATGATTAATATATTATATACTTGAGGGAACTAAAATTTTTAATTAATATTAGAGCATTGAAATTAAATTACAATCTCATTAAGTTGTTTAAAGGGGATTTTTTATCATGCACAATTGAAGAATTGATTAATCAGTCGAATTAAAATTACTCAATTGAAATGACTCTAATTTCTAAATGCAGTAAAAATTAAATAATATTATGTTTTTTAAAAACTAAGGGATTATTTTTCATTACTCATTTATGAGTATAATATTGATTTTTATTTAAAATTAAAGGAATTATTTTTTCATTTTTTCATTATAGAAATTTAAAATATTGTCAGTGAGCTTATAATACTAATATATTGTTCATTTTGGAGAAATATTTTTACTATTCACATTAAAATGTGCTTTAAATGTATTAATCAATTATTCTTAAAATTTCTATAATGCAATGAAAATTTGTGAATTTTTGCTTTTATAACGCAATGAAAATTCGTGAACATTTGAGCCCAATTTCTCTTTTTTATAAATTTCGTTACGAATACTAAATTTTTCTTACGTACTACATTTAAAAATTTATTTATTTTTTATTAAATAAATTACATACCTAAATATTATTCGACTTTATATGCATTTCATTCTATATTTAATTTAAATTTTAAATTTTCTCTTTGTGTGCAATTTAAAAACATGAAGGCAATAAATTTAAAATTTCCCTGCATTTTAATAATTTCTTTTAAGTCATATTTTTAAGTCATAATTTATTTATTTATTAAAATTAATTTAAACCATTTTTTTTTTATTTTTTAACCATTTTGAAACCTTAATTTTTTTGATAAAAAGTAATAATAATTAAATAATATTAAAAAAATAATTAATATTTTTCCTTGTCATTATTTTTTGGGTTCTGTTTTTTTTTATATAAAATTTCAATATTATAAAAAATATATTTATTGTGTATTTAGTTTTCCATGTAAAATATTAACAATGACACTAAATTCTCATTTATTTTTTTTTCTTTGTCATATTTTTTTAATTTTTCAATTATTTATTTTTTTATTTTATTTATTAAACTGCACTTGGTGTTAATTTAACTGTTAGATGATAACTGTTTAAATATTTTACCAAATAAATATTTTAAACCATTATAAAAATTAGAGAAATCAGAAAATTTTACCATTTATACATGTATAGTATATAATATATGTAAGTATGTATGCAAATCTGCATATTCAAATATGTATACATGTGTATATGAATAAATTAAAAACAAAAATTGCATCTATTTGTATTTTAAGAAAAAAAATATAACAAATATATAATTTGTAATTGTTATTTGAAGAATTCAAAAACAATAAGAATAATAATTGAAGAAAAAAAGGACGAATTATATTTTTATTTATTTATTTACATATATTTATATATTATGTATATATTCAAATATTATTATATTGTGCAATAAGACTGAATTGTCTCTTTCAAAGAGCAAACAATAAAACACCTACCTACCTACCTATGCAATACATTTTCTATAATACTAGTAGGTAATCATTTTGATTTTCCTGTTTTTGTTTTAATAATTTCAATAAAGAATCCTGAAAATTTTTTTTTTGTTTTTTTTTTCGGTTAAGGTCTTCTCTCTGCATGTATTTTGTCAAATGCAAAAAATTTATAAGGTACAAAGAAAAAAAAAATATAAATTCAAAATAAAATATAAATATTAAAGTATACAAAAAGAAAAGGACGAAAAAGAAAAATTGTTGTATAAAAAAGCAAAAGAAAAAAATAAAAAAATATTTAAAATATTTGAAGAGAATTGTTATTTTTTCCTTTATTTTTATATATTTTTCTTATTATTATTATTATTTTTTCTTATATTCATTACTATTTCTTCTTTCTTCTTTTATTATTTGTTACCATTATTATTATCATTATTTTGATTATTATTATTATTGTGTCTTATATTCAAAAAAAAAAAAAAAACAATAAAATAAAAATATGAAAAAAGAATAATAGTAAAAATCAAAAACAAAGGAATAACACTGCCCTAGACATTTGTAAAAAAAAATAAAAAAAAACAGAGAAAAAAATTCGAATTATTTAAAAAAAAAATAATAAAGGACACACAGAGAGAAAATATAAAGCCAACGAAAAGAATTGTGTGAGGGGAACAAGCAATATAAAGGGAAAGAAAAAGAAATAAAAATAAAGAAAAAAAAAATTATATATATTTTTAATAGATAATTGTTTGAATGTCCTTTGGTTTCAAGGATGATTTCTGTTCGTGAAAGCAATATTCAGTATCACAATAATAATTTTAAATAGCAATCATATATATCATATACATGCATACATATATAGAACCCTCATAATAATGATGATTGTTAAAACACAAAAAAAACAAATAGAAGAAACAATAAAAAAAATTGAACGAAAAAGAAATTTTGTTTTTTTTTTTTTGATAGAAGAATAAACCAACTATAAGAAATTCAAATTATTATGACAAATACAAGAGGCCTTATAATAATAATAATAAAAAAAAATTTATTATCATTACTATTTTATCAACATCATTATTATCATAGCATAACTAAAAACATTAATACGTCATCAGTAATAAAAAATATCATCATTATGATCATTATCAACAGCACGAAAAAATAAAAACAAAAGAAAAAAAGAATAAATGATTTCTATTATTATCGTGATTAGCTTTTTATTATTAAGATTAATTGTAAATGTAAGATTATTACTTTCAACTATTTCTATATTATATAATAATAATGTTTATAATCAATATCATATTGCATATTATTATTATTATTGTTATAATATAGAGGTATGTGGTGTTAGAATACCATAGCTATCATGTCCATAATAATATTATGTATTAAAATAATTATTATGTAAAACTTTTGATTATAACAATTATTATTTTTATTATTATTTAAATAAAATTTATTATAATATTATTTATTATATATATTTTATCATTTTTATTATAATAATGATGACCTTTATCGTCAAAAATTATTACACTTTATTATATATATTGTTTTAGAATGATCATCATATTTTTATATTTTGCAATATTATTATCATATTATTGTTATTAGAATAATAATAATGCTATACAGTATCTGTGAAAATAAGGAAAAATTACCTAGGTTTTAAGAAATAATGAAATTTTGCGTTTTGAAATACAAATTATGTACATAATATAGCAAAATTTTATTCGATTGCAGCAATTCTAACCTGATAAATTTAGATCTAAAATACCTTTTCTAACATTTAATCAAAATTTTACAATTCAGAAAATCATATAACCACCGGATATCCAAGGTAAGAAAACTATTTTTACAGATTCATTGAATTGGACTGTTTTCGAACTAGAAAATTTCAGTGTAAAATTATAAATTTTAGAATTTTGCTGATATCTGTGTGTAAATTCTCATACTATATTATATAAATCTAGATGTGGAAGAGGAAACCTTACAATTTCAAAACATACATCACAATATGTAAATAGTTTTGACCAATCAGCCTATATTTCCATTTATGGGACATCAAGGAGACGTGCGCTTTGCAGTTCTATGGCATTATAATACAGAACACGTTTGCCTCGCAACTATACATTTATTTTAATTTTTTAAATATTACTAATTATTACTGAGATATAATTATCAGTGTCATAAAATATTTTTGTCATTAACTGTTACCGATAATAGAATTTTAAAATTTTATTTTTAATAATAAATTATAATAATACGTATATAAGAGATTTATTACATTTGTATCGTCCCGTATGATTATTTTAAAAATTTGTGAATAATAAAAAAGAATTTTTTGGTAATTATTTCTCAAATGTTATAGGTTAAATAATAATATTAAAATTCAGTTAAACACTATCGTGACAATAGTAACTTTTAATATGAGATATAAAATAAAAATTCTCTCTTTTTACTTTTTAATGAGTTCAAAAAATTGCATGAATGAAATTTTTTTATAATTCATGCGATGCAAGTAATAATAAAATAGAAATTGTAAAAATATAGTTATAGACAACAGTTTAAATTTAAAGTTACTGCAAGACAGTAACAAAATTTTATTTTTCTTAGCATAAAAGCGAATCAATTGATATTTTCTTATAATTTCTTATAAATTAATGCTTATTATATAGCACATTATTTATATTAATAATTATGAATTATAAATATTTTTTAAACAATAATTATTATAACTTTTGGAATTATTTTTAGGAATCACACAGCAATCACATTTTTAGGAATCTTTTAATTCAAATTTAATAGTAAAATTTTAAATAAAATATTATATGTATCGTATTAAAAATTTGACCTACTTTTTTTTTTTTTTGATTTTTATTTAAAAATAATTTATTTTTAGAATTAAAATATAAAATAAATCATAATATTAATAAAAAAATTTTTAATATTTTGCAGAAAAATCAATAAATATATTGTGGCTTAAAAGTGTTGGTATATAAAATACATTTAATTTTTCATGTGAATATTTACAAAAAAAAATTTATGATGATAGAAAGATTAAAGTGAAATGTTTTCACTTCTGTTTAAAAAAAAAATTCAAAATATTCCATTAAAAAATTTATAATATATATTTTGCATAATAACAATCATACCCGCAATATAGATATAACAAATATGTATATACACAAATTTTTATGTTTACAGTGTACATATTTTATATGAATATACACTTATTTTGAGTGAAGACAATAAATTTTAATCTTTTTGAAAAAAAAAATAAAAATAAAATGTTTATTCCTAGTATTAAAGGTATGTATGTTTGTACATTCATTTATATAACAGAGTCCTGTAGTTTTGAATAACAAATTTTTCTTATCTTTATAATTAATATAAAAAGGGTCACTAAAAAATTTTGAATAGTGAAAGAGTGTAATTTTTATGTCATTTCATTAATCCATATCCTGCATCTTTTTTTCTCTCAAATCTTGCTAAATATTATGTTATTTTCGTGGAATATGTCAGATAAAAACTTCATATGGTATAAGGGTTTAACGACTAATGCTTTAAAATAGTGAATATTCAGGTCAATTAGAATATTTCGTTTTATAAAAATAAAAATATTAGGTATATAAAAACAAGTGAGTGTTTTAATAATCTGAGTTCTGGATTTTATATAGTTTTAGTTGTTTAATAGTTGCAGTTAAAAGACAAGTAAATGTAAGGGACTCTATGCCACTTTTATTCCGGATATCTTATAATAATATTATTAAAAATAAGAAAATTTCTCATAACTTTATTAAAAATAAAAATATTATTTTTAATTTATAAGCAAATTTAATGCCTCATATAGGTGAAGTGTATCATAAGGCTCAACAAGACGTGATTTCAAATAATTAGTTCGGAAGCTAATTCCGTTGTGTTTCTTTAAGAATGAATATTTATCAAAATTTTGTAAATTTAATAAAAAAAAAAAATTCAATGACCAAAATATTTTCCTTTTTTTTTGTGATAAATAATTTTCTATTATATTTTTTGTGTTTAATAACCCTATACAACTCCATATAGGTACATATTAACCCACAATGTTGTACAAAAATTTGTTGTATTCCAGTATATAAAATTTTAAAATTTTAAAAATGAAAACCCAAAAAATAATAAAATAATAGAATTTAAATTAAAAAAAAAAATTCAACATTTTTCTTTTTATTGAAATATTTTTTATGCATGGTCCATTACAATAAT